TATATATATAAATAAAATATACATAAATCTGTATATACATACAGTAGTCCCTCGCTACTTCGCGGTTCGTTTATCACGGACTTGATCTATCGTGGTTTTTCAAACTAAGATTGGAAATGACACACAATTGGCTGATTGATGAATGAGCCACATGATCCGCCTGGAATTTTTATTTAAAATAGGGATGCACGATAATGGATTTTTGGCCGATATCGATATGCCGATATGTTAAAACTTATTTGGCAATACCAATATTTTTATATGCTTTCCTTTGTCAGAACATAACCCTCTTATTTAGGCTTTTTTGCTACAAAAATTGTGTAACAGCTGTAAAAGCTGGTGACATATATTCAGTAACAGCCATTGGCCATAGACACTTTAACTTATATTAAATGAAAAGTGTTAAATGTTATTTATTAGCATTAGTCACCTGTGATGCAGTCTCACTTGTGGAGGCTTGCTCTGGATTCCTAGCTGCAGTGTAGGATCCTCTGCACTCCTGTGCATGAAGGACAGCCTTTTTAAGTTCAACGTTTTTGTCTATCCATTCTGCCGTAACACTAATCATGCTAACGTGGCTAACACTTGATGTCCACATGTCTGTGGTAAAACTCACCCAAGTGCTATCGGCTATTAGTTTCTTAATGACGTTGGAAAGGACAGCTTGTAACTCGGGTAAGGCTACGTCAGAAAAATATCTCTGACTGGGGACGATGTAGTGAGGCTCAACATAGTCCAAAAATCTTCAGAATCCAATATCTTCAAAGAAAAAAAAATCCACACCGCCAACATTTTGACTTCTTCCTCTCTGATGTGATAAGATCGGGTAGGTGCGCGTGACGTCATCACGTCGTGCTGGTGACAGGCATCCATGTCACTGGGTTGTTATACAAAAACAGCGTTTTATATTGGTGAGTTATTTTGATGGAATGGCCGATATTTAACTTTAATGTTAATATCGGCCGAAACTGATACCATGTCGACAATATTGTGCATCCTTAATTTAAAATAAATTATTTTAAATTATTTAGCACCTGCTGCACCTGGGTGCAGCCCACAGCTGCAGGAGAAACTTCTTCCTGAAGCTCATCAGCTGTTCTCCGTGCAGAGCAGAGAAGTGGGCATGGCCGAGAGCGCTTGTAGGTGGCCAAGAGCAGCCGAGGCAGAGAGCTGAAATCATGACATTCTGCGCTCTTTTAGAGCGTTTAGAGTTTAGAAACATTGTTTAGAATATTACAAGAGTGTGGAAAGGGTTTAAAAT